CCCCCTGCATCGGCAGGCGGACTCTCAACCACTGCGCCACCAGGGAAGCCCTAGAAAGAAATTTTGTTTGTGAATTGGTTGTACATTTACAAAGTTCAAAGTTCAAAAAGCATAAAAGCAGTATATTCAGAGAAAAATCTTCCTTCCTTGAGCCCCTGTCTCCTTTCCACCCCTAACCCAGTTCCTTGGCCCAGGAGGGGGCGGGGGGGTGGTGGTGAGGATGGGGGTGGAATATATGATCAGTCTCTGTTTAAACCGAGCCCTGCGGAATGTTCTGTTGCTTTGAGGCAGAAGAGAAGGTTTGGAATAAGGGTGGGGTGAGGAAGAGGGAGGGCCAGCCACAGTGAGAGCTCACTTTGTAAGGCCCAGTCTCCAGAACTTTCCAGAACTGCTCATCACCCAAGCTGGAGGAAGGAAATGCTTTCCCCTCCCGCCAGGCCTAAAGAAAGCTTCACTTTCCTCCTCCTAAGAGCAGAATTGGGAAAGTGGATGCAGTGGCCGCTTTCTTCTCTCCTTTACAGCTTCCTTCAGGCTCAATCTGCTCCATCTGACCAAAAGTACTCTCTGTCTCAATCCAGTTTACCAGCATATCAACACCTCTTTAAATTGAATGCAAATTTAAAAGCCACTACTAAAAATATTAAAATGATTTCTCCACCCCCTGCTTTAGCCTATTTATAATTTCAGCTGGTATATTATCCCAGGGTGTATTTTTGCTGTTTGCTATATAAAGTAGAACCTTCTTTTGTTAGCATGCGTGTGGATGATTTCACTGAGCTGAACTCTGCCTCATGCTTCTTTCTTGAATTCCAGATTGCTTACTGGGAAGTGTTTGATGGGTCAGTAATCAGAGAGTTGGATGGTTCCTTGTCCGGGGCCATCAACGGCATGGATATCACTGTGGAAGGAGTGCACTTTGTCACAGGTCAGTCCTGGGATAAGAGAAGAAAGCCAAGCCCAGCTTATTTAACTGGGAATGTGGAACTCCCAGGCGGGAGGCAACTGGAAGTGACCACAAAAGGGTCTAAAGGGCAACGTGGTTAGACTCAGGCCTGAACACTGCAGCTGGTGTGGCTGGGAAAGAAAAATCCCGAAGTCACATTTCAATGAGAGGAAACATTTGCTCACGAGCCTTAGGGGCACAAATATAAACCTAAGCTTCCACTGCCTGCTTTTTTTGTGGTGGGTGGCGATGAAAGAAATGGGCCTTTACACAACATTGTAAACCAATTATACTTCAATTTAAACAAATTAATTAGAAAAGAAAGAAAGAAGGAAATGGGCCTTTACATGGGCTGGGCTGTCCAGTCCGCCTTGCTCTGCTATTTCCTACTGAAGTCTTAAATGCCAGGCTTTTCAGTCAGCATTTCCAGGGGGCATTTGCCACACAATGTGCCCATTGCAACAGCATCAGTCTCATTTCTTGCAGCCTCTTTGATTCTTCCGGACAGTAACCAGTTAACGTTCCAAATCAATAAAAGTTTCACAAACACATTTATGTAAAGCATGATATAAAATTAGACACGGTATGATCCTAATCACATATTCAGATGTATATCTGTGTAACTTACAGAGAAAAGACCAGAAGGAACTAAACCAAGACGTTACTAGTGGTTCTTTCTGGATGGTGGGATCAAGGGTGATGTCACCTCTTTACATTTTTTCCCCCCAAATTAACTACAACAGATCTAGATTTTTATAATCAAGGAAAAAAGTGTTTATAAAGACAGGTTTTTCTTCCTTTAAATCAGCACATGGGGAATGTATTGAAAACGATCCAGTAATTTAAAATCAGGACTGTTTCTCTCTGTTCCGTTGCAGCAATGCCATGTAACTGCTTTGTCATTTTCAGGTGGAAATGACCATCTTGTCAAAGTTTGGGATTACAATGAGGGTGAAGTGACTCACGTTGGGGTGGGACACAGTGGCAACATCACCCGCATCCGGATAAGTCCAGGAAATCAGTACATCGTTAGCGTGAGTGCCGATGGGGCCATTTTGAGATGGAAGTACCCATTTCCCTCATGAAGCATTGGAGACCTCCTCGATTCACAACATTGAATACCGTCCTGTTGGAGGTTGAGTTAGATAACTCCACAACTAGTCTTGCTTTCTCACATCTGTGTTTCTGTGCTTTGGTCAAAATATTTTATCTACAAGTTTCTCCTTTCCTTTACAGAATGCATTTTACATTCTCTAATTGTATATTAAAACTGAGATGTGTTCAAGAATAATTCATCCAGACTGTAAAGTTTTTTTATTATGAGTAAGTTCCCAGTTGTTGGTTTCCTGTCATAATCTCCCTTCTATGACTCTGCAAAACCCACAGCCCTTCATAATTTGTCCACAGTTAACCATTGCTGTTAGTCTCTAAAAATAAGAAAGGTGAATTTACCTTATTTTTTTTTATTGCGATACGCGGGCCTCTCACTGTTGTGGCCTCTCCTGTCGTGGAGCACAGGCTCTGAACGCGCAGGCTCAGTGGCCATGGCTCACGGGCCCAGCCGTTCCGTGGCATGTGGGATCTTCCCGGACCGGGGCACGAACCCGTGTCTCCTGCATCGGTAGGCGGGCCCTCAACCACTGCGCCACCAGGGAAGCCCCAAATTTATCTTCTTAATCAGCATTTCATTGGTCAAGCTGCCTGGGGCAAGATGTGGGTTTGGATCCAGATCTTGGGTAGGGTTTTTGTTTTGTTTGAACTCTCTGATACTCCGTTTTGTAAAGCAAGAATACCTGCTCAAAAAGTGATTGTGAGAATTAAGTGAAATAATGTATTAGAGCGTCGGCAGAGTTCATGACACAGAGTAGAAACTTCAATACGAATTATGGTGCTTTTTCTCAAAGAAAATGTGTGTCAGGGATCTTGGGGGTAATTATCAAAGGTGAAATTTCATAGATGCTTTTCTGGAGTTAACCATAAAATCTTTCTCCTCTGCTTACCATTAGAAGAACGATGGAATGGACCTTGTGTATTGACCGTCCAACCAGGGACGGTGTCCTTTTCCAGGGAGCGTAAATAACAGTATTTCCCAGAAACACTTCAAGTCTCTAATTCACAGGACAGTCTTTTGTTCTGTGCATATTCTTTATCCTTTACCTAATGCTTTTTTTTTTTTCCTGCATCAGGTAACCTGCTGCTGCCCTATTTGACATATCAAGGTGGATATTTAATAAATGATGACCACTTATTCATCAAATAATAAGTAACATTTCAGGGCATTCATGTGATAATGCCTCCTGCTAATCTATTGTTGAGTTAGAAATTGATGAGAAATTCACTTTGCGACACTTTGGCGGATTAATTATAAACGTGACAGTTACAAGATAAAGTGAGGGAAGTCCCCAGGGAATCAAGGTCAAGGCAATGCCAAGTCAATTCTTATTGGGCAGCAATTCAGCTGGGATTTTGCGTTAAGGAGTGAGCGTGAGACCTCCTAGGGGGCGCGCCCGGGAGCTGGAAAACTTCCTGGTGAGCAAATACTGAGGCTGGAAAAGATCTAAGATGCGGGGTTGTCAGTCCACAGACCCTGCTCGAGTTCCGGCTTCTCTGCTTACGGGTCGTGTGGCCTCAGCCCATTGCGTTAACCTCTCTGCGCCCGTTTCTCCACCAAATAAACCGAGGACGGTCAAGTCTCGCAAGTTTTGATAAACGCCCTAACCTAGTCTGTAATTTAAACAAGCAAACCACAACCAATCCCGGGTGTTTCTACACGCGCCTCCCAGTTCGCGTCCCAGGATGGCGGGATCCGCAAAGGCTCTGCCTCCCCTGCGGGGCAGACGGGCTGGAAGGAGGTGGCGCCACCTGTCCGCACACACCTGAGCCTGCGGCGGAACCAGCGGTACCAAGGTACTCTCCACCCGTTCACCGCCCCCAGGGCGCGTCTCTCGCTACGCCGGAGGCTGCCCTCTGGGGAATCTTCCTTTCCCTTCTTTCCACCTTCGCCTGGAGGTAATTACAAGAAATTTAGGAACAGCCAGGGCTTTGCAATTTACTAGGGCGTTCACATTTATCATTCCTCTATTATTTTCACAGCTTGAAGGCTGGGAGCTGACTAGGAGCAGAGGTTAAATTCAGGTCGGCAGGTTCAGGAGAGGTTAGGAAGTGGAAGGGAACCTGAACTCTGTGCTCCAGTGCTTTTATTCCTGGTCCGAGCGGCGGGGGCGGGACCCGACAGGGGTGGGGGCGGCGGGGCGCTGCCCGGGGCGGGCCCTACGGCCTGATTCC